GTCTGCTGTTAACTAATCCAGAGTGTTCTGTTGTGGTGTGTTTGATTCAGGAGTATGAAACAGTGATGAAGGGGTTAGACAGGAACGCACCGTCAGTACCACCACAGAACTCCCCTCAGGAAGCCCAGCAAGTGGAAATGTGGAAGAAGTACATCCAGTGGGAGAAGAGTAACCCACTACGCACAGAAGACCAGACCCTCATCACAAAGAGAGGTGACTGTTGTACATGGATGTTTGTCTCCGTATGTTGGCGCTGCGGTGCGCTGGCGGCCTGTCCAGTGAACCCCGCCTCTCGCCCAACTGTCAGTTTTTGAAAGCTTTTAGGAATATATGATTTGCATTTATTTATACTGTTTCTATTTCTTTTATTTTAGTTTTTGTCACTTTTACTGCTTTATTTGTTATGCGGCCAATGTTCTTAGTCAATTGCCTTGTTTGATTTTTAATTTTGTAACATTGCCGTATAAATACATTTTTTTTTAAATATTATTACTATTATTATTATTATTATGTCATTTTATTTATTTATTAGATATTAGCCAATGACTGCATCCACTAGAGGGCGCAGATTCTCCTCACTTGTGACTTAGACCATATATTAAGATGAGCTTGTGTTCTGTGTTGCAGTGATGTTTGCTTATGAGCAGTGCCTGCTGGTGCTGGGTCACCATCCTGACGTATGGTATGAGGCAGCACAGTATCTGGAGCAGTCCAGCAAACTGCTGGCAGAGAAAGGAGTAAGAAATTACAACTTTGAACACTTCCTGAGTATTTTTTCAAAACAGTGCTATTAAACTTTTATATGTTTTTTTTCTCTTAGGATATGAATAATTCTAAGCTGTTTAGTGACGAGGCAGCAAACATCTACGAACGTGCCATCGGGACCCTCCTGAAGAAGAACATGCTTCTGTACTTTTCATTTGCTGACTATGAAGAGGTGAGTGTACATTTGCTGATTCTGCTGTCACCAAGACAACAAGAGACAAAGTGACTGATCAGCGTGTCTTTTCTTGCTTTCCTCATAGAGTCGCATGAAGTACGAAAAGGTCCACAGCATCTATAACAAACTCTTGGCCATCGAAGACATTGATCCCACACTGGTCTACATCCAGTACATGAAGTTTGCCAGAAGGGCGGAGGGCATCAAATCTGGACGCACAATCTTTAAAAAGGCCCGGGAGGATCTGCGCACACGTCACCATGTGTACGTGACCGCAGCACTGATGGAGTACTACTGCAGCAAGGTGAGGACACACAGGGTCACGTGATAAGTGTTCGTTAAAGGTGTGACTAGAATCACACTTTTTTAAAACACAGTCAAACTCCTTTTATCTTCCCCAACAGGATAAATCAGTGGCCTTCAAGATCTTTGAGCTCGGCCTAAAGAAATATGGAGACATTCCAGAGTACATACTGGCGTACATCGATTACCTCTCACACCTTAATGGTAGGTTGTGTGTAAGAAAATAACTTGTCGCTACTATTTACTTGTAAATCAAACACACAAAGGTATAGTAATGGAAAATCAGTATGTAACTTCTTTGTTATTTTCTGTCTGCTCTCTCCAGAGGATAACAACACAAGGGTTCTCTTTGAACGTGTCCTCACCTCAGGAAGCTTGTCACCAGATAAGTCAGGGTAATGTAAAGTTTGTTATAAGTTGCGTGTGTGTCTGTTTTCTAAAAATCGATATCTCTGATGATGTTTGTTAATTCTGTAAATTCTTCCTCCGCTCCTCAGTGAGATCTGGGCTCGGTTCCTGGCGTTTGAGAGCAACATAGGAGACCTGGCCAGTATTCTGAAAGTAGAGCGCAGGCGCTTCACTGCCTTCAAAGACGAGTATGAGGGCAAAGAAACTGCTTTGCTCGTAGACAGATACAAGTTCATGGACCTGTATCCCTGCTCTACCAGTGAACTCAAGGCCCTTGGATACAAGGTATTTGTCATTAAATGACGGACAAAAAGAGCAATTCTTGCTTCAAAAGCAAAGTTTGACGGATCAAGCTTCTTTGTAAAGATGATATTGAAACCGTTTCTTCTGTGTGTGTGTGTGTGTGTGTGTGTGTGTGTGTGTGTGTGTGTGTGTGTGTATAGGATGTTTCTCGTGCCAAACTGGCAGCTATGCTCCCAGAGACGGTGGTGGCACCCTCCGCACCTACACTGAAGGATGAAGCTGACCGTAAACCTGAGTACCCCAAACCTGACACCAATCAGATGATCCCCTTCCAGCCACGTCACCTCGCCCGTATGTGAAGCTGCTCGCACGCTTCCCTGTTCACTATACTTCCCTTCTTTTCTCTTATCCACCGACTTCATTCATCTTTGATGCATCCGTTTGCATTTCTCTCCGTAGCTCCAGGTTTACACCCTGTCCCTGGCGGAGTTTTTCCAGTCCCCCCAGCTGCTGTCATTCTAATGAAGCTGCTCCCTCCACCTACGTGCTTCTCGGTGAGTCGCAGCAGTCCAATGCTATCGAGCTCATATATACTAGTAATGAAAAGAGCAGAGGGTCTTTTTTGTCTGCTTGGACTCAAAGAGTGTGTGTCTGTGTCTTGCTGCAGGGTCCCTTTGTTCAAGTGGATGAGCTCATGGAAACTCTGAGGAGATGCACACTTCCTGAAAGTAAGTTGATTCTTTCAGCAGAATCTTTCAGACGAATCCAGTCCATGTTTCTTTTGAAACATGTTCTTAAAATATTATACTGCCCCCTACTTGACATATTACTGATGCATTTTTTTGTCTCTTCAGCCGTTGATGCTGCTGTAGAGCTGATCACTGGCAAACAGCCCGATGCAGGAGGCGAGGGCAACGGATCCATGGAGAACCACGCTATTGCCAAGTCACTAAAGAGGCCTAACGCAGACTCTGACGAGGAGGATGACAAAGGAGCGGTGGCTCCACCCATACATGACATCTACCGCGCACGCCAACAAAAGAGGATCCGATAAAGTAACTACAACCCACGGTGAACCTAACAAGAATGTAATCTTAATAGCTGGTCATATGAGGTTAAACGTACGTGTCCATGTTTCTGAGTCTTTCTTACAGATCTGTTGATTTCACTACAGACAACAAGCATTCATAAACACACACACACTCACGCAGACATACACACAGTATGGCCACCTGAGTGTTCTTGTGGGGCTTTTTTTTGTTATGTTAACAGTTTTTATTTTTAAAGACTGACCATTATACTGTAAAAAATTTTAATTCAACCATTGAATCAGCAGTTTTGACCCTGTGAACTTCCAGTGATGGAAAAGTGGAGTAAAGGTTTTTTTAGATAACTGGAGGAAACACAGTTCATTTCAATAAAAGTGGAAAAGAATTCAACTGGATTTGTTTCTTTTTTGAGTTTGAGTGCTTTTTGATTTATTGTTGTCTTTCTCTGTAACTGAATTAACTTTTTATTAAGATTCCATATGTCAGTAATACTGTACCAGACCTCATCATTACCACTAGATGGCAGTCTATCATCCTCTCTGTGGAGGATAGCAGGATCTAATAAGTTTAGATTTATCCAGTAAACTTTGAAAACTTAAGTCTTTATTTCATTATACATCTATGCTATTATGAAAACATGTTTTTATTGCTTTAAAAGTCACCAGGCAGACCTTTAGCTGGGACAACCTCTCCTTACAAAAGATAATCTATTTTACACAGTGAACATGTTTTGTTATAAGCCAGCTGCTCTTTTTCACATTGAACTGATCACACCATTATTTGTCTACCCAGCACAGCCTTTGTTGTGGGTATGCAGCTGCCTATCTCACCTCTGAGCTTACTCACAGCTAACATTACAGTATAAAAGTGTTTGTGCAAAACACCACACCACCACACAATGAATTCTACTTTGACATTTTCTGCATTTGCATTTGGATCATTTACAAACAAAAACTGACTGTAAAAAAGTTTTTATATCTAATAGCTTCGAATAAATAATATTTGCTCGAGCATTGTTTGTTTTCTCACTCTCACTTTTTCTTTCCAGCATCAACAAAACTAACTGAGCATAAGGTCTTAGAAAAGAAGGTACTTGTCATTTTCTAGAATAGATAAGCTGCTGGTTGCATTTTAAACTGCTCTTTTAAGATGCTGAGATGAAGGGGTATGTGTTGTGGGTGAAAATGTGAATAATAGAAAGACACAGTAATGTCCATTCATCAACACTGAGCTCAACAATCTTTTAACTGTATGTTAAACATAGTGTTTCACATACATTGATTCATTTGTGGTCATATAATGATTTTTAAATGGAACGAAATGACAAAGGGCGGTAACTGCATTTCACAGAAAAAGCAATGTCCACAGTTTGTCTTGTGTTTGAGCATAAAGTTCTGCAACATACCTCAAAACCAGAAACATTTGTGGACATTGTTCTCTTTAATCAGAGAATACACATTTGGTGTCTACAACAGGAAAAAAAAACTCTACCTACATATATGAATGTTTGTCATGTCCAGCTGGAATTTATTAACATCTGACCAAATGCAAACAAGTTGTGTGTGTGTGGTTTGAAGGTAGTCCAGGGATGTTTTATCACCGGTGGAAGCAGTTGTACAAAAAAACATTTAAAAACAGAAACTTGAACATGCATTAAAAGGTTTTCATTGAAAAAAAAAAGAAAAACGTGCTGACATCTGTTTTGTAGCAACAAACACAAAAGCCCAGAGGGATGATTCTCCTGAATGTCTCTGACTGTTTGCAGAAGCACATCATCAGACTTTCAAATTTCCAGGTTCAAATCCAAGTTCAAATTTCCTTCTCATGCCTTGTGTTAATCGCACTGTATATGAGAAACCACATGAACAGACAAATATTTTTAAACTGCTAACACTGTTCCTATTGCACGAGCACAAATATATATGTAGTATGTCCATTGGAAAGTCATGTGCAGACTTATCCTTACTGGCTGCAGATGCAAAAAAACTCCATCAAGACGCATAAAAAAGAATGAATGCAATAATGAATTTTGTCATTCTGGAAAAGTAACAATCTTAGTCTTTTTACATTATGATACATGAATTTATTTTTTAAAATAAAAAGTTTACTGGAGCAACATGTTGATACTGGACAATCTTTTTCCAAAGTACTGAACAAATATCTCTGGGTGGCCTTTGTAAAACTGTCCCAGCAGTCGTCTCTTCTCTTTAATGGAGAGTTCAGGGTTCTCGTGGATCGTCTGCAGTAAAGACCAAAGCTCCTCTTTAGTGGTTTTTTGTACGTTTTCTGAAAAGGCCTTAGCGCTCAGTCTTGTACAGTACGTTGTTCCTGCAGTGGAGAGGTGGAGAAACAACGTGAAACACAGAAAGAAAATCTTTATTTAAAGAAAAGGGACTTCTACTAAAATGGAGGTAAAAGAAAAATGTGTAAACCTGTTATCATATCTGGATCTTTCCCTTTTACAATGTTTGTTATTCTGTCGCTGACCATCTTGTGCAGAGAGACAGGAATCTGGTGGAAAAGAGAGAAAAAAATTTATTAAAACTCTACTTACTTTGACTTAAAGATCCAAATCAATATGAATACAATTATGTTGAATCTAGTGTCTGATTGGTTACAAGTCTGCTTCTGAACATCCAGCGTAAACAGCATTTTTTCTTCCCTGCAGATCGTGACATGTCTCCACACGTTCATATACACACACAAAAATTAGTAACACTTACTTTGAAAAGGTCGCAGTGGTTATCCATCATGAACAGAACCATCAAGTCCACCTTTCCTTTGGGGAGTCTCCTGCTGTAGACGATGGCACTGGAGAAAGACCTTTTCACCGCCATTCTGTTCTCAATCTGACGGAGAATCATTAAGAGTTAACGAAGATCTTACAGACACATCTACAGACGTACACAAGATGCGCCCAAGCTCTCACCTCTTTGTGCAGTTTGACCTCCTGTAGTCTGGCTGCAGTGGCCATGAATCTCAGGAGTCTGCGCAGCTCCTCCCTGCTGCGAGAGTCCTGCAGCTTCAGGCTCAGCTGCAGGGCCTCCAGAGCCTGCTCTCGCTTACCGTTCACTGAAAACAGTCGAAAGGAAACACAAGGATGAAAATGCTGCGCTAGCGAAAAGCAGCCTTTGTGTTTAAAGTGACATGGGCAGGAAAATCCTATACATGAAAATGTATTTGAACCCTGCCTTTGTGCATCATCTTCAAGAAAGCCTCAAACCAACACTAAACCAGCTCCCCCTCTCACCGAGTAGCTCTGAGATGCCCGAGTGGATGTCAAAAACGTGGTTGCTGAGCAGCGGCGCTTGCTGTGTGTGTCCGTAATGCTGAGCCAGCACCTCGTAAAGCAGCTTCTTACACTGGAGCAGGTCATTTGCACAACCGGCCAAACCTCGGCTGACCTCCACCACCAGTTCATCAGGCAGGAACTCCAGACAGTCCACCGCCCCTGACATCCACTCATCAGCCCTGAGGGAGGGGGGGAGAAAGTCAAGTGACGGAGAGGTAGAGGGAGGGTCCCGTTAGATTTGATATTTAGTGAACTCGACTGCTTCCTGTAGAGCAACATAGATTTTTCTAATTTGCAGATAAAAATACGTCTATATTAAATAATTTTGTATTGATGTAAGTTAGACATAATCATTGGTATAAGAAGCATTGCAACAAGATAGATAGAAAGATAGATAGATAGATAGATAGATAGATAGATAGATAGATAGATAGATAGATAGATAGATAGATAGATAGATAGATAGATAGATAAGAGTGAAAAGAAAATTGAAAGAGGTTGAAATTGTTAAAGGACTTACTGGGCTTCACTGAAAGCCTTGAGGACCTCTCGATCCAGGTAGCTCGATGTATACAACAGGTCTGGGTCACTGTCCATGGTGTGAAGCGGAGGCCGAGATGCGTCCTTGCCCTCTAACAGGTTCTCCAGCAGGGGGAGCTCTACCAGCTGCAGCAGCCTGAACACAGCCTGCTGGTGCCACACCTCATACACCACTGTGAAAACACAGAGCTAAAAGTCATTAAGGGTCACAGGAACACAGATACACAAAGTGGATGAAAACGCAGAGCCTGTCCTGTGTCTCATCAGACACCACTTACGCTCTTGCGAGAGGCCGAGGTTCATCATCTGAGGGGTGATGGTGGAGCTCAGGTTGAGGTTTCCCAGCACGTCCTCCAGTGATTTGTCTGTGTTTATGGGGGAGTGGGTGGAGTAGCTCAGCACCTCTTGTCTGAAGAGTCATAAAATAACAACAATCAGTGGGAAGTTAAAGAAAGAAAAAATGCTCAATGACTCACTTTATATCCAACTGACTAAATAAATGTTCACTTTCCAGCATCAAACAATCTCTGATTGACATTAAATAAGACATGTGATGTTTTTTCTTCACCGTTTACATTGAATTATTCCCATGAAGCCTTGACTTGGCCCAATGCTGCGAACAACAAAAGCCCCATTTAAACTGTTTGAGCACATGGCTCCTCTTTCATCTGCCATTAGGGACGTCAGACTTTCTCTGGTGCGGTCTGGAGCTGTCACTCTTACAACAACATCAGATCAAAAGGGGAACAAACAGAAAGTGCTGGCCATGTGTTCGCCACTCATCAATAAAGCACCCTGCCTGTCTTTGCTGAGAGCTCCCCGGCTGCCGAACTGGTGACTAGAAGGGCACTCAAGAACGCATAGTACTGTCAAGGTGAACGCACTATCTTGCGAGATTAAAGAAAGTGAGTCCACCCCCTGAATCAAGTCAGCGCCAACAAAAATGACAAAAGAAACTTCCACCAAGTTCCAATAAAGTTGGTTCAGTAGTTTTGTGTGATCCTGTTAAACACACTCAAATAGAAATATAACAAAGTGTTACTGGAAGTGAATAGTATCGAAACACGACTACATGATGGCATCTAAAGAGTCTCATGTCATGCTTCACTAGTTTTCAGAGGCCACGCTGGATTTGGGATTAGCTCTAGCTATCAGGAGGAAGGAGAACAAAGCGAATCAAAAATGAGATCTGAAGATGTTGTGACACGAGTCTGTACCTTTCATGTGATGGACTGTAGCTGTTCTTGTTCCTGTTCATGCTTGGTGAGTCATAGCCGCTCTCGATGGTGCTGGTGGAGTGAGAGTTGGAGTCGGCCAGCGATGATGACGAGGTGGTCGTCGGGCTCAGGAACCTGTACAAGCTGAAACTGCTGTCCTCAAACGTCACTCGCTTCTTTTCCTTCCCAAACACTTTAATGCCCACTGGCTCAAACACCCTCGAGTCCATCAGGGCCTGGCAAAGACGGACAGCCTTGTAACGAGGCACCGCCTCATCGCCGAAGAAGCGGTTCAGGGTGATGTGTGCCAACACCACATCCACGGCGTCCGAGCCCAGGAAGCAGTCATGGTAGGACTTGAGGTTGTGGCGCCGGCGCTTGACCTCCACATGAGTGTGGAGATTGGAGATGATGCTGCTCCAGATGTAGGTGGCCCGGAATGGCTTCCCAGCCATGACTTGTCCTGATGGAGGAGGAGAAGAGAGAATGAGTGGATGGAACATGGAGGAGTTTGGGAAAGAAAGGTTGAAATAGAAGAGATTCCTTCACATTTCATGATGACAGTTTACTAGATGCAAGCTGCACAGATTTTGATGAACTGGAAGAGAGAACTAACAAATTAGTCAATAGAAAATGAATCAGCTACAGTTTATTGTACATTTTAAAATCAGTTAATGATTTAAATTACTCATTTAGAAAATCTCTTCAAATACTTCTAAAGGTTTTACGTGTGGAAATTTGATTAACGATTGTTTTAGGTCAGATTAAAATAAGCAATTTGAGGACATTACTTGTTAAAAATTGTGATGGTGATGGATATTTATAGACTATGGAGCCAATAATCAGTTGAGAGAAATAATCACATGTATAAAAAGGGCATATAGAGTCACACACTGCACACATGAGGGGAACTTTACAACACCACCCATTTGACTCCATAGGCAGATGCCGTAAAACCACTTGGCAACTAACTCAACTCTCCTAAACATTCATCCTTTTGGCGATCCACTTGTTATTCCACAATTGACTGTCTCAGCTTTGTGTATTGTCTGAGTCTGCAGAGAACGGTGCTTTCTGTCTTCACCGAACACACACTCCCTGTCCTCTGTGTAATGTCACATACTTAGAATTCGAATTTCAGTTAATGTACGTGGGTGTAACGGCTAAAGGTCTGGGATCAATGCAATCTAATGGGGGTTAGCAGCCAGACCCAAATCCTCTTTTGAGGCATGCTTGTGCACAGAGTATTGACAAGCTTACTTTTAATTTGATTAACACTTAAGAAGTAAATACTGCAGTCTGTGTATTTAGAGGAAGTAATTGTTATGTAGTGTCAGAGACACAAATGATTCTCGCATAGTATATCATCTATTGTTATCGTGCTGAAATACCATGTGAGAGAAAGGGTGTGGCACTCGTTGTTGTGCCTCGTGACAGTCCTGCTGAAGGTTCAACCCTGTTTAAAATCTCTCGGCCAAAAAGATTATCTGGACAGCAGACCTGCATGTTTAAATCTCCCACAATCAGAGTTGTGACATAGAGAAGGGAGTTCAGAGACAGACACAGATTGAGGAGGTTTGTGGTTAAATGCACAGAGTTGCAGAGACACTGTGTTGGTTTAAGAAAACCAAAGCATCAAATGTGCCTGATTTTCTTATGCAATCGTTCCACACTTCCTGCTCCACTCAATCTCACAAGGAAACAGAGACAATGATCACACTGTGAGCCTTCTCTCACTACAGATATCCTCATGTGTTCCTGCTGTATTTCCCACTGTAGGGCTGCATTACAGGCATGTAAAGCAGTACATGGCCATGCACTCAAAGGTTGACACGCTAAACACAATTTCTCAGCATATTTCATCTACCAGTCAGCGTTGGTCTTTGTAGGATTTGTAACATTCACAGTAAACCAAGTCAGACCGATGACAGCAGAGCAGAGCCGTCCTTTAGCGAGATGATACTGTGGCTTTTCATCTCACAACAGGAGGCATTTTAAAGCCTGTTGAGCAAATGCAACTGAGAGGATCTGAGAGATTCACTGAGGCCAGGGGCCATAAATCAGGCACTGACAGCAGCAGCAGCCAGGCCGATAACACAACATGACAAATACAATTACTGACCCATCTGTAAATTGTGACAACAAAACACCCGGGGGGACGTTACAGCTTCAAGCATATGTTTACCCACTCGTTTCTAAAAAAAATACAAACAGCTCACTATGGGAGGAGAGGAAGGTGTGATGGTGATCTACTGATTAATGAGATGCATCCAAGTCAAACTGTGCGTCCCTCTGGGGGACAGAATGGTCCTGAACTGGGAATTTGCAAGAACAACATAGGCTGGAGCAAAAACACACATCAGCTGTTTGCGTCAATAATAGGAATCAGGAAAAACAGGCTTTGATATGACATTGAAATATTTCTTTCCAAGCTTTAAGAAACATGCATCCTTAATATAAATGCAAGAATAAATCCAATCTGTCAATGTAGTCATTTTAAACTTACTTAAAGGCAGAATATCACAGGAGTAAAATACTTTTGGACCAATTAGAGAGAAAAAACTTAACTATCAGAACAAAATCCTTGATTTAGGAGTTAGGGCAGGACCATCTGGAGAATCCCACCAGGGGTCCAGGATTACCGGTCACACAATAAATCCGGATCTGATCAATATCCATTAACGCTTGTTCAAAAGGTTTAAAGAAAAAAAGAAGAAATGGGAGGTCAGGTGTGGGTCAAAACAATCCTGGGAACCCGGCTCTGCTCTGTCACCTCTGGTTGCGTGCACAGGCCTGAGATTTGAGGCCAGTGTGCATAGCTGACGCCAGTCTCCTTCACTGTGACTTTGGTGCGAAAATAAAAAAGGCAGCAGATAGACAGAATATAGTGTCGCGACGATGAGGAGTCTGGCATGTGGTTCAGTGCAGTACCAGTGCAGCGGGTGTTTGCACACATCAGAATGGGTAAATAATCGCAGAGGGAGCATGCACACACACGGGAATAGTCCCCTTGTGAACATAGTTGCAACTCAAACACATAGGAGGGATACGTGTCATGCCAAAAAGAAATCCTTTGCCACAAACAGGTTTTCAGCTTCTTGGTAGGGAAGCTGTGTTCCTGCAGTTTAAATATGTCTGCAGCTGCTTTTATCAACTAGTTATAACTTGTACGCATATATCCTTGTAATAGTGAAGGTATGTGTTGATGACGTTTTAAAGTTGTTTGTACACTGAAAAAGGTTTTGTGTTTACCAATTTAAATACTTCAACTAGCAACAAACAAATTAAGTCTGTTCAAATCAATGTTAACAAGTTATACAAATGCATTTGATGATTAATAAAAATAAAAAAAACTTGTTACCAATCTAAACATTTTTACAAAGTTGGTAAAGAAAAAAACACTTTATATATATTTAACACAAAATACAAAAAGAAATCAAATGGGGCGAAAATGGCTGATGCCGGGGTTGATGTACTTTTAACAAAAATATGTGATCCCTGCAGCGGAATACGTAATGATTTTCTGTGTTGTTGTGAATGTGTCTGAATTGATAAACTCCCTCTGCTTTCTCATGTGTGAAAGGTAAACTCCGAAAGAAGTTCAGACCCAATTCTCCAGAGTTTCCCCTGGAGGTCATGTCTGAAAACAGCTTATGTGAGAAAGCAAATGTCTGAGTGAGAGGCTGCCGACTTCCCCTGAAGTTTCCCCTGCCAGCCCCCAGTATAAAAAAGCAGATAATGTCAGAATGAGCCCATGTGAGAAAACAGTAGGAGATCCTCCAGAAGATTCACGCAAGCCAGTGGGCACAGCAATGACATTTCTAACGTGGGATGAAAGCCAAACTGAAAAGAACTAAAAGCATATCTTAAGATGAAAAAATGCATCTGATCTCTTGCTGCCTTGTTCATGTGTGAAAGATAAACTCCGAAAGTCCAGACCCAATTCTCTGGACTTTCCCCCAGAGGTAGTTTCTTAAAACGGCTTCTGTGAGAACCCAAAGCTCTGAGTGAGAGGCTCCGGACATCCTCCGGAGTTTCTCCTGCAAGACCTATGTAAGACCCATGCAGTGAGCCCATGTAAGACAACAGCAGGAGGAAGTCCGGAAGATCTAAGCAAGCCAGTGGTAATAGTCATGACAATTCTAACATGGGATGGACGCAAAAAAGATAAACAATACAAACATATCAGGATGAAAAAAAACAAGTCACTGCGTTCATAATGTGTCAAAGGCAAAATCCGGAGAAAGCCCAGGTCCAATTGTTCGGACAACAAGGAGTTCATGTCTGAAAAGATTAATGAAGTTCAGATTTTCCACTTTCCAGCGACTGATCACACTTAGGCATAAAAACCCTGCCTAACCTGCAGCATGCACAGGTCTAATAATTTCAAATGATGAAAAAAATAATGCACTGAGGCCCTGTCAGACCAATGGCAGCCGCAGGTTGTTGTTAACAGCCTGTGGCAGATCCCTTCATTCCTCTCAACACGCTCAGACTGGTGAGATTAACACATCGAGCCTCTGCACAGAAACCGACTGGAGGTCGAGGGGTTTATTGGCCCGTATGAATCTGACCCCTCACATCCTGAGTGAGTGCTCAGTGTGTATGGTGGCAGATACACATGATGATGACGATGATCCTGTTCTACCTGTGTTTTCACATAACACTGCTGCAGGCTGCTGAGTCTGCACCCAGCACGCTGAATGTCAAAGAACACAAACTCTGCTCTAGTTCAAAGATTTGTCCATAAGCGATATAAACTATATATATATATATAACATGTTGTATGAATTCTTAATTGAATTTGCCTCATAATATTGTTGTTATACTTGTTACATGCTTAGATGAGCTATAAGTTACTTAGAGTACAACATGACCAGAGACAGGTGAGTTAAACATTCAGAAATGATTTGAAAAACACAATGAATGTACATCCGCTTTTGAAATCTATAATAAATCTATTAATGACTGGTGTACTTGACTTTCTAAAACAAACAGCAGCCAAATGGCACCTTACGTTTCTACTCACAGACCGAGAGGTTCAGGCAAATCCAAACCATTTCTACAGCACAGGTTAAATAACACTTCCCAACCAGAGCCGGATATCAGCAACATCTATATTTGATCGATAAAGTTGTTTTACCTGGTGATCGATGCATTCAGAGTTCCTCCAGTCTCTCTCCCTCTCTCTACACACACACACACACACTCTCAGATCTCGTCCATGCTCTTCAAGTCCCGACGTGACGCACACGGCTCAGCACTAGAGTCAGCCCCCGAAACCGGCCCCTCCCACTGCGATACATTATTCATGTCAATCACCGCTCTGCCTCCTCCAGCCTGATAATGAGCCTGTCAGCGTTCCCCCTCACGTTCAACACCTCACCACCCGACACACTTACAGTTTCTATAGCTGACACTTTAGTAACAGCTAGATAAAGTCAATAACCCAGGAGAGGTTTCTTTCTAACGCATGGCCATGATCATTCTCCTTTGTCACGCAAAAACATTTGTCTGGTGAATATTAATCTATGAGCATTATTAACATATTTATTTCAGGTTTCATATTTTCAGGTTACATGTAATGCTTAAAATGCAGGGAACGACCTTCCACTTCTACAGCACACACTGTTTGAATATCTGATCTGATAAAGAGCAGGAATGTTGATAGATATGAACTGATTAGAGGAGAGGAAAGAAGAGGTGAGGAAAGGAGAGATGAGGAGAGTCCATGTCCACTACATGGGCAACCAACCCGATACAAAGTTCACCAATGTATGTTCATTTGTCTTTAAATCGCAGTATTTAGAAATAAGAAAAGAAAGATCTCACAGACCCTAAAACTGCCTTTTAAAACCACCTGTTTCCTTTGTCCTATTTGGTGTCACATGAGTGCAAGTCCCTCAGGAGTCAGCAGCAGCCCTGATCTTAACCCACCACATCAGGAGTCATGGTCTACACACAAACAAACAGTCACCTCACATGAGCTGTGGTGTGGGGAGACAGATTTCCTGAACCCGGCCTCTCACCTGGTGCCTTCTGTCTTTCTTGAGGTGTAACCCGACAGTGGAAAAGCAGTAAGACGACACTGAGAAGCCAAAGTTGGTCACTGACTGAAAGGGAGACTGAAAGTAAGACAGCAACTATAATCATGAGGCACAAGCATGCAGCGGGTGAGGCATGTAACTGGGACAAACCGGTTTGATGGCAGTCCTCTTCACCTCTTCTTTAGAAAAATGTTCTTTCTCTACCAGGTGAGAGAGCAGAGTCAAGACCTAGAGCAGGGGTCACCAACCTTTTTGAAACTGAGAGCTACTTCATGAGTACTGAGTCATACGAAAGGCTACCAGTTTGATACACTCTTCTGAAATAACACATTTGCTCAGTTTGCCTTTAGTTGTATATTATTATTAATGATATATGATATATAATTAGTGATACTCGTCTATGTGAAGACACTGATCACGTTAATGATTTCTCACAATAATTATCAACAGGTGGGAAACAGATCAAATCAATATTCAAAACTTTATTTCTATTAATCTCAGCAATTGTTTAAATTGTCAGATGATCACTTCTACAACATTTCATAAGAAAAATGTCCCATTTTCACTAGCCACTGACCAACCCTTTTAACAAATCATAGTCAATAGTCAAATTCAATATGAGAATACAAATTTGACAGTATAAAAAATAAATTATTACATTTATTAGAAACGCAAACAAATTTTAGGTGCAGCTCACTGGTGAGTTGTGTTATTTTTAGAACAGGCCTGCAGGCTACACATGTGGTCCTTGGGGGCTACCTGGTGGAAATGTCTCCCCCTCTCTTGTACTGTCCTGGACTTGAGCAAGGCAGGTTTCACCAACACAGAGGTTCCAAAACTAGGCGTCGGCAACACCTGGGAGGGTCACAAGCAACAAATGAAATTCAAAAATGTAGCACATGTTAACTATTATTGATATAAAAGTTAAAAAACTTTAAAATAAAGCCATGGAAATAAAAACACGTCATCAGCTCTCTGATTTTCTTTTTCTCCATGTGGTCCTGGAGGTGATCATGACAGTTTAGCAACAGCATCAGTTGCCACGCGTCAATTCACAACATCAACCACTGCAACATGTTGTTACTTCTGATAAGACGGTTGTATTTCTGCCCCGGTACTTTTGTTTATTTGTTGGTTTGTCAGCAGGATTATGGAAAAACCACAGATCAGATTTCCATGAAAACCTGTAGAAGGATGGGACACGGGCTGAGGAAGACACCATTCAATTTTAGCACAGATCGAGTTCAAAGGGGCATTTGAAAAAAAATATTTTCATCTATATTAAGAGGTCCGATCAACCACTTGGGATACTTGTCTCTATCAGTTATTTTGGAGGTGGGGGCATGAAAAGTTTGGGAACCCCCGCTCTTACGAAACAGCATACGAGCATGTGTGCAACTTTAAAGAGGGACTCCACTGATTGGACACATTAAATACTACTCAGTCCATGGTGGATCTTGGAGGCAGGAAGTCCCTTGTGAAAGATACTGAAGCTGCATTATGGGAAATGTAGGATGCAGTGTTTTTGGAGCTGGGCCCACACTAGAAACTAGTAGTGAACATATCTCAGCTCCTGCTACACAAGCACAAAAGTGTATTTCTGGAGTGCCACTTTAAGACTACAAAACAGAGATGGGTACATGGTCAAGATGCTGATCATGAGCTGGAGTGTCCATGGAGTCGGGCTGGGGACCTTTGTTGCATCGCTGTCCTGGTGGTAATGAATAAAGGCATTAAATTCACCCCAAAATAATCATTTAAGAAAGAACTGAAAAGGTTCTTATATTTAGCATTTTCTTGCATAAATCAAAGTTTTCTTTTGTTTTTTTTTACATGTAAGGGTCAGCACCAGGGAAATAAGAAAGCAATTAAATACTGTAGTATTCAAAAACCAGCAACCCAGGAAGAGCAGCACTGTAAAACTTCCATTACTGTAATGGCAGTTAAAAACATCTCGATGGTATCTTATATGAGTTTTACATGTTACATGTTCAGTCACACACAAACAACCCAAGTCTTTACTGTATAAGATCCATTATATAACAACGCCTGAACCATGACTTCATCTGAGCTCAATGAAAGTTTGCGGAGAACAAACATGAGCAGATTAACTCTTTTTTTCAGTTTCAATAGGTGACGTTTTTAATATTTAAACAGTTATCATATCTTCATATAACAAAGCAAAGTCACACCTCTGAGCTCTGTGCCTTCAGGTTTAAGGTACAGTGAGACAAAGTTCAAACTGGTTTTACAAGTGTTCAGCTGAAGAAAGGAAATTAGATGAGCTGGTATTTTGTCAACTGGTCAAAAAAGCTGAGGATGTCATTTCAGTACCACAAAGAAAGAAAGAAAGAGGGAGGGAGGGAGGGGGAACTCCAGTCAATACAATCACAAATTCTCGTATGCAAGGTCAAAGCAATATTTACTCTCCTTTTTCTCCACACATGCCAGGAAAGCCCCACGTTTCCTTTCCTTCTCATGCTAATCGGCCAAACAATGTTATCCCAAATAGTAGTTTGTTTACACTTATGATAATAATAATATGATGGTGTCCTGAGGACATTTCTCCAGGAAGTAGCTTTCTAAAAACTAAATAAAGACATTCTTATGCAGGTGTAGTACTTTTCTCTGAAATTGAGAGGAACATACCTGTATGGTACCAGGGGCAGATCCAAGGGGGCACTGGCCCCGACTGAAATTTGATTAGTCCAAAAAGTGCCCCTGTCATATATATAAGACTTAATAACAATGCTAACAAGGAACAATTATCAAACTATATTCAATGATGTGTCATAAAGATATACAACAGTGAATCAGTAATAGTACATGGATTTTGGACATATAATTGTCCCCTCTGTGTAAATTCTGGACCCTTTAAGGCCCTGATTTAGAAAGATCATAGATCCACCACTGCTTGTTGAGAATAGTAAATGGACTGTATTTATATCACAGTTCTCTAGTCTTATCCATCACTCAGAGGATTTTACAGGTTACATTCACAAGTTTACACACATTGGGGCAATTTGGGGGTTCAGTGTCTTGACCAAGGACACCTTAGCAAGTGAACCGGAGGAGCCAGGGATCAAACCGCTAACAGTCTAGATAGTGGTCGACCCACTCTATCCCCTGAACAACAGCCGCCCCAACAGAAAACACTAAATGTACCAGGAATCTGTACATATAGTGCTTGAGTAAATGCTTAGTTACTTCCCAATACTGCTTAATACACAGATCCTGATGTGGAGTCATCAGTGGGATGTGGTTTGTCTGAGCAGCTGCCAGACTGAGGAGGAATCTATAACTCTCCTCTTTCACAGATTTCTTCTGTGTACATGTGTAGTTGACAGCTTACAGATGGCTTTAGAAGTGCACCATCACCACACATCACATTAGCTTTCAGTAGAGGGCATTCCCAAAACCAATAAGTTGTCAGTTTTGCAGCAGGCGTCCAGTGTCTGTGCCCTCCTCACATCCTCACGCTGCCTCGAGGGTGCTCTCAGTCCGTCTCCCACATATGCAACAATGCAGTGCATTAAAATTCATAATGCTTTTCATCTGGAGAGCAGACGTTCAGTATCTGTCCTCACCAGTCGTGCCCGAACTGGAATCTCAATTGCTCGCCTCACTGGTCGTCCTCCACCCCCGTGTCCTCCAAGTCCAAAGGACAGAGGACAGTGGCTTTCCTCACAGAACTGAAGCTGCAGCACAGAGACACTTTTGTAGTTAGATTTTGATGGGGGGTGTTTGCCAGTAATTTTGCATTGTGGCCGGCCGGGCTGGACAATCATATTTTATTCAACAGCCCCAAGACCCTTTCAGATGACACAATGTCTGCCACCCATTCACAGTGAATAGTTTGGTCATGAGAACATGGTGGGCGAGCATCACGACAAGTTTCCCTTTGCCTTGTTGTCTCATCCCCCAGAGGGATACAGGCCAATATCAACTGCACACTCCAACCAGCAAATAGCCCAAACCCAACAAGCAGGTGAAGATACAACACTGACAGGCCTCTCTAAGCTGAGCTGGAGAGGACAAAAGCATTTTTGATCTGTAGTAAAGCTTCTTTTACATGTTGTAAAATTGGTGTAATGAAAAAGCATATGAGGCAAATCAGGAAGGTATAGTTCTGAGCAGGATGCATCAGTGAGGCCTTGGGAGTTTTTATAGTGCCAGTGGCAAAACATCTACAGAAGGAAGATGGTGCCTCACCCCCTCTTCTTCATTATAACATGTGCGACAACGGTCAACAGCCAAGGTTTCCATAAAATCTGTTTGAACACGGAGGCTTGAATCCACCTGCAGCAGCTGTTCTGACTCCTTTTCCCCTCGCTCTTCCCACAATTCACACTGGCAGTGTTGCCACTCAAGGCGAATGCCCCAAAATATCTTAAAAATAATGTGGTGTAATGGAGCAAATCATATGTACTAAACAACCATGTTTCACAATCATAATCTGTAACTTCAGAAATCCAACTAACAGTCTTCCTCGTAAAAACACTTTAAAGAGAGAAGTGTTACCACTTTGCAGTCTGCACATTCCATTTCCACAATTATGGGAATGATTATTAAGATAGGCTTGTTCTAGGGACAAGGTTAAATATTTCTGAAGAGCATGGCATGATTACAGCTTTAAGCGCAGAATGAATTCCTCCGTCATGGTCCAACAGTCCCCAACAGTTGAAACCACATTTAAATTCACTCAATCCTCTATAAACATGCCTGACTTATGAACAATACTAAAACTATTTTGGGATCTGTGAGATTTATAGATAAGAAATTTAAAATTCCAAATCATTCAAACACCTAACTTGATCGTGTATTAGGCCATGTTTTACCACCTTCTTATGATTTTGGACAGTTTCATTTCATGGAGAAAACTTAAGTGATTCGGTGATGATGTATTTTGCAATAATCTATGCATTTGTGCGTTGTAAGCTATTACTCATGTGTTACAGCAACATTTTCTGAATCTAGAACCGGTCGCTTCAGACAAAATGCAGCAAAAACAATCATGTAATACATGCGGCACTTTATTTACAAACTGCATCTTTAAAGAACAAGATCACTTTGATAGCATAAAACTGGTAACTGTCTTATGAAGAGTCAATTCTTTTAAAACCGTGGGGAAAAAAAGTGTCTTAAAAAGTGTAGTGAACAAGAGAACATAATATTTACTTCTGTGAAAATATATATCTATTCGTCAAAAAATGTGGGCTATGTCTGTAAAGAAGTATAAAGACAACTATTTTTTTTTTCATTTACTCTCAGATAAATCAAGGTAATAATATTTGATTAACAAAATTAATTTTTTCAAAAAGCAGCGCTGGAACTGCATTTCCTTTTTCGCATCTCATAAGCAAAGGGCTGTGTGAAGTGTTAAAACTCAATATAGATACAGTATATAGTTACTAAATTTCTCCTGAAGAGAATTGCTGCAGTTCCCACCTCCCTGCTCTTTTATACAAAATGTACATTATATATAAGTTGGCACTCCATTAAAAAATGGATGTTTTACAAACAGTATATAACTACGGTTATATATAATATAGAGAGATTTTTTTTTTTACAATATATCAACTCTGTATATGAGCCTTCTAATCAAATGATTGAAGGCTTGTTATAACTGTAGGCGATCAGATTTCTGCATCTTTTTATTTGCTGTGCTCTATTTCCTTTGCCAATTGCTTTCTATCTAGTGCATACTCACTGGTTATAATCTGGTATTCAACTAAAAAAAATATTTATAAAATTAGAAATCTATGAAAAGGGCCCAATAAAAGTGGGCTTTTAACTACAAAAGCTACAAAGGCTAGGAGAAGCAAAATGCGAAGATCTTCCAAAATAGTTCCTGGACAAGTCCTTGTCCTCTGTTGATCAGGTTATGGCTTCCTGCTAGGATGCAGAGATACAGACCATAAACTCTGCTGCCACCTCACAGTTCGCCACGTTCCACTTTCATGCCACAGACCCCTGAACGTCTTTCAGATGAGTCCACCGACAGGTCCCTGATTAAAATCTCTGCGTGGCTGGAAGGAGAGGTTCATTCCATCCTTCCCCACTGCCACTCTGAGCTGGAGGCCTCCTCTTATTTCAAATGTATTAGACTTAATGTATTTAAGTCTTTTTTTGTGTAGAAATCAGCCCTGGCAGGGATGAATCATCTGCAGGCCTGCTGCACTTGATTGATAAGCTCTCCAAAGCGATCAAATAGCCCCTCAACCCAAGCTCCGTTCTGCAGACACTTCTGTACAGTGTCCTCCTGCCCGAGGTCTCCTGTTTGCACCCGCAGAGATGCAATCTAAGAGGACAAAAAAAGTATTTATCAATATTCCATTAACTGGCTTTAATACAACAGAGGCAGAGCAGAATGATAAGCATCTGAAGTAAAGGCTAATAATATGTGTGTAAGACGGTGTCTCACCTCGTCCTTACACATGAGGTATGTGTGGTACTTGTAATGCTGAAGAGAATGGTACAGAGAGAACCACTGGGTTTTCTGCTGGTCCACTGTGTACTCCTGGAAAGAGAAAAAAGTCTTAAAAACGCTTCTTTTTAAATGAGTCTGTTAAGAGAGAGCATACCAGGAAAGGACATGAGTGTTTAAAGGCACTAAGAAGTGAGAGAGAAACACTAATGGTCACACTGCGCCCTCTGCTGGACAGAAAAGTGCACACTGAATTTTACCAAAACATTGACCCATTTGGATCTGATATTAACATTCGTCTCTGGTGATTCAGTCACAAGTGGACAACTTTAAGTAAAAGTCAGAACGCACCCAAGACACACAGGACAAATTTTAAATTTGATTACTCAGATCACATTCAGAGGTGGTCTGGGACACATGGACAAATGCTGTTAGCAGCGTGAATGCAAATGCATCCTGGTCCCCATTATGACCTCCTAGATAACATCTTCTGACCCACTGTCATTTCACAATCAACTGAAAATATTTTTAAACTAGAGCAAGGAACTGAGATTCAATCAAAAGAGGTCATCTGAGACGCATTAGGAGACTGACTGTAATAACAGATGTGAAATGATGAACATGGAGCTGCCCACTTGGGATCAGATAATTCGAGACACATCTTAGTTTTCTTGTCTTACTTGTGGCACTTTGTTAGGCATCTTGTAGGGCTTCAGTGTCTTCTTGTTGTAGGCCCGACCACTGAGACGCACCTTGAAGGCAGGATTTTCTCCATCCTTCTTCAGCTCAGTGACCACTGAGATCTCTGGGAAGCTGTCAAGCGCTGCCTGAAGACGCAGAACAGTCATGTAACATAGCTTCATAGACTGTAGTTAAGGTCCTTTGACTTCTTATCTTTCTTTTTGTCGTCAAAATAGATCAACACTTGTTTTTACACATTTTTAGACAGTAATGATCATCTCTACTTGCTCTGCTGAAATTCTCTTTTCCATTAAACTCATAACAAAACATAAATGTGTAGTTTTGAGGACACCCACCTTTAGGACTTGCCCTATTGGCAGTTTGTGAAGCAGCCGTTTCCTGTTGTCAGTGATCATCCCGTCCACTCTTTTCATATGTGGCAGCAGCAACTCATCTGAAACATAACAAGTCAGATTTGACCCATTCTTAATCCCCCCCCTCGCTGATAATAACAGCAAATGTCCAAAAAGTAAAACCACTCACCTTTTGCCCTCTCAAGTGCCGTCATTATGTCTTCGTCTAAGGCGACGCTGATGAGCAGTTCCACAAAACTCTTGAATGTCTCCTTCATAGCTCGAGTGTTGAGAAGCCGTGAAGCAAACGGCACAGGAGGGTTCAACTCTAAGAGTGTGAGGACATCCAGAAGATAGTTAGAGCAAAATAATATCACCTTGAATCCAAACAAAGGCAACGTCCACTTGAACACAGTTGCCCGCATTCAATTCCTGATTGGGTAATATCAATAGCGACATGGCTACCAGCTGTAAATGCAAAGCTTAGCTAACCCAGACTTTCATAACAATTTTGCATCTTCTGCAGTCCCAACAAATAAATCCCTGGTCCTACTTCACACTGCCGTTTCTCATTCATAGTTCAAGAAGAAATCTTCCTAGTTAGACCAGCATGCACATGAATTGTTTGTGATAAGCATTTTCAGGAATGCGAGTCTGGACTGGGATATGGAGCTAAAACACTAATCTGGACTTGAGGATTTTTAGAATGAAAATATATTTAATGAGAGGTGTCAAAGCGCTGCTTTACCATTATCTTCACCACCTTCCTCTGCAGATGACCCTGAGGCTGTAGGGGAAAACTCCTCCTTCCATTTCCTCCTCTTCTTAGGTGGAGGTTCTGCCCGTGGCTTAGGGTGTTTGGGACGGAGCTTTTGGCTCTGGGAGACTGAGGAAGCATTTGCTGTCAAGCCCAGTAAAGTTTTCACCTGAACACCCCTGTGTGACAGAACCAAGACAGTTACACCACAGAGGACACATGTTTAAAAGACAGAATAATTGAACCTTCATCAGTCAGTCCTCCTGGCGTACCTTAGGGAGTTCATAGGCTTGCAACGTGGCTTCCGACTACAAACTCGTACATACTCCCTTTTGTTCACTGTGTCCAAGAACTTCACATAAACCCTCTGGTACATGGTCTTGGCGTCACCAAAGTATCCAAGATACTACACACAAAGAATTAAACAAAGTCATTTGAATGATCAAATAATCATTCTTGGATAAACATCTGTATTACCATCTGCTTACACTGTTCGTGGCTGAGAAGACTCTCTTTCCATCTCTGAGTTCAGGCACAAATTTCTGCAGCAGAGCCTTTTGGACCTTCCAGATGGCCGGAGGCTCACTCCCTGCTCTCATTGTTACCTGGACACATGCACATGACAGAATACAGGACACGTTTCAGTATGCAGCACGAGTTCAGGTTCAAGATAAGCAAGTCAAATTGTTCAAATTTGAGCATACGTGAGATCTGATATGAATATCTATTCAGAATTTGGGGTTGAGCAGCTTGTGCTACAGGGAAAGTGGTAGGTGAGAGCAGGTTTGGTTTTTATCAAATAGACACCTTCAATGATGTTGATTCAAATAAGGGTGACTACATCACAGGGCAATATAGTTTAGCTCCGACAGGTCATAGTCAACATTTATTACAAGCACAATGATTTCGACCATAGCTTAACCTAAAAATTCATGTTCACAAGAACCATTTTTCCATCCATGCTGTTGAACAGTCGTACCTTCAAGTTTTCAACATCCTCATTGCGGACGACAAACTCATCTCTCTCCCGGTACATTCCCTCCCCTCCACTGTCCGACAGCTCCTCGTCAGTCAGTCCTTCCATGGCCACACTCCTCAGCTGCACAGCCACCTGTCCCGGTGCCATCTCTTTGGAGTTGTCTTTAGCAGCAAATGCAGCTGCTCCTGTGACAGAGTTTGTTGCTTGCAGAGGAGTGGTTACCTGTGGGAAACAGGTCTCTTTGACGGCTTGCTGCATTATGGGAACTTGATCTGGTTTCATCATCGGACCAGGGATTGTGTTTTCTGGAGAAGGGTTGTAGATGCAGTATATGAATGCGTTGAAAAAAACAATTTAGGAAGTGAAATGACTACACACGAATAAAAAATTTCAGAAAACATTTAATGAAGAGAAAAGTTTACAGGCAACGTAACTTATGGTTACGCTGCATTATTCCAATTCATTTCTGAAAACAAAGTTTGCGGTATTTATGGCAAACTTTATGGTATCGTTTTCAAAATTGTAGTAAAAACAATTTATGATCATTAATATAAACAATAGTAAGTTGATGCTCTGGTAACATACAGAGAGCTCTTGAAAAGCTTGGATGTGTATTATTGTTATTACCTGTCCTGGTTTTCCGATCTGAAGACTCATCCAGAGCTGAGAGTGCCGAGCTTATCCTGTTCCTCAGGGCCTGGTTCTTCCCGGTGTTTTCCTCCTCATCTGAGCTGAACGATGGCAGCGTTTCCAAGTTCTTTTGCAGATCTTCATCCAGACGTTTCTGCTGGGAGCTCACTGCCTGACTCTCCTGTGAAACCACGGGCCCTGGCAGAGTCTGCAGTTTGGGTGGCAAAGCAGGCAAGGCGGGCAAAACACATGGCAGTGGTTTGGACGAGGTGGACAGTTTTCTAGGTCGACTTATCGTTCGCGTAGGACTCGGAGAGTACTGCTGTTTGGGGCCAGATTTGATGAAGTCAAGGAAGGAGCCAATGAAGCCGGTTTTGACCTCTGGCTGTTTCTCTTCCACTTCACGAATCTTCTGCCTGATTCTCTCCTGCTGCGGACAACCATCAAATACGCTGTGTGAAGAAGATGGTGAGCTGATGTCACTGCCCCTGGAGTTTTGCCGCTTTACCATACCACTGCGCTTGGCCGGTCTGACCTGTCCACTGTCCTCCTCAGGACCACCTGGTTTGTTCAAGGACTTGAAGCGAGCCTTCTTTTTGGGGTAGTCTTCTCCGCCTGGGCCCTCCATAAGACCATCCTCTGTTTTAATACACTTGAGATTCTCTTTGATGCTGCTCTGTAGACCCGACGGATCATACAACTGCCCACCTAAGTGATAATCATTCTCCGAGCTTCCTCCATCTCCATTTGCATTAATGTCAGAACTGCTGACCTGAGTGTCTGTGGACATCTGAGGTCCATTTAGTGTCATGGTCAAAGTGTGGGAGTTAGTGTTGGTGAGGATCGACTGTTGTGCTGAGGAGAAACTAGGTGACATGTTCCTTATGTCCACGGTCTGGAAGTGCCCTTTAGTATCAGCGGCGCTCGCCATCACTGCCATTTCAGCCTCAGCAGAGGATGCAGCTTTGACAAAGTCTTGCGGCGTGACGCCACAGGCCGCAACCGTGGCAGCCAGGATGTCATCAACATTCGACAAAATGTTTCTCTCATCTGCGAGTAGCATAGATTCAGGGAAGCAAATGGAGTTGAGAGCAAAGTGGTTTTTGGCATCGTTTGACTGTTGATTGGCCGAGTGGCTGTAGTGGTGTTTCGAGGAATCAGGGCATCCTGAGCTCTGCTCGGACACTACTGTGCCCTGCTGCTGACTGTGGAGTTCACTGGGACCTAGCAGTTCACGGTCCATCTGGAGATACTGGATCTGCACTGGGCCCAAACCTTGTGGCTGTTGAATACTTTGCACTGATACCACCTTTGAAGGGTTCTGACCCTGGTGGACAATGGGCTGCTGAAGCAAAATCATCTGACTGGGCTCGAGGAGAACCTGAGTGCTGGGGACGGTGATATATTGGGTGTGGGCAGCCGGGATCTGGCTCTGGGATTGATTATGATTCTGGTGGTTTTGTTGATGTGGCTCAGGAGATTTGAGTTGGAGAGGTACATGTGAAGATACAATACTGGAGTTTGCCGTTTTTATGTTTGCAGTGTCCTGACCATTGGCGCTGATTAGATGAATGTGCTGTTGGTTGAGGGAAACCATTCTTTCATCCTTTACCTGTTCTGCATGTGTATGACCCAGTCCCATGAGCTGGTCGTCAGAGCGTGAATTGCTTCGGATAACACTTTGCGTTTTGTGATGGTCATCCATTTTCGAAACAACATAGATGACATTGTGGGCCGCCATGTTGTCTGCTGCAGACGCCTCCATAGTCGCCTGATGGAGAGCCTCTAGGTCCTGCATGGGAAGCTCTTCAAGTTTCTGTTTGACGTATGTTGGCTTTACATCCTGTATAGAGGATCTGACGTTATTATGTAAGGCTTGAGTAGATGAAGAGAAGGTAGGCAGTGGTGCAGATAGAACATATTTATGGGGCTGTGTCTGTTGCTGGGAAAGAGTGTCGTGCGTTTTACCTCCCACTGAGGCTTGCATGAGAGTATAGTCCTGCGTAGAATTGGATCCAGACAGACTCCTTACACATGTGGGTGGGTAGGAGGAGTTAAGGGATTGGTTTATGGATTGTCCTGTGGCAAAGCTCTGAGAATAAGTCACTGAAGCTTGCCCCTGTGACTGAGATGTAAAAGTCACATTAGGAGCACCCTGAGAGTGGGATGTGGGGTAGCTCTCCGAGAGACTCCCCTGACACAAGCCCTGGACCTGGACTCCGTACTGGACTGCCTGCTCCTGGCTTAGGCTGGGACTGGTGGAGTAAACAAGTGTCTGACTGACAGTTGCCACATTGCCAGACTGGCAAGAGAGAGAAGGCAGGGTCTTGTAAAGGGATGACAGTTTGTCTGTGGTGGAACTGGGGGTCTGTGACTGTGTGTGTGGGCTGATGTAGGTTTGAGACAAACTGTTGGACATTAGGCTTGGTAGGTGGAGAGACTGCTGATTAGAAATCACTGAATTCTGGTTCTGCCCTGGGGAAGAATATCGCTCTGGAGACCCACCTGGCAGGTTCTGTGTGTGGCTGTGACTCTCTTCACCCCCAGCTGAGTGTGGAGCTAGTTTGGCAGAGCAGTCTTTAGCCTTTGGCACTGACGTAGTCGAATATGTTTGAGTTACCAAGTCTGTCTTGGGTTGCGGAGCGCCATTGACCCCTTGAGATGAATCTACTCCTGTGGAAGGACTGCACGACACTGGAGTCTGACGGGCCGGGTCTTGCTGGTAGGACACATCTGCTTCGCTGCCAGACACAAAGTACCCCGATAACGAGTGCTCAGAATTGGGCAACTGTTCTGAGGCCGTGTGGCTGCTAGAAGGCCTCTGGTGGTGTTTGATCACACTACATTCACGCTGAAGAGCTCTTTCAATAGAGCCTGAAAAAACAGTGGTTGCGTAGGGCTGTGGGGCAGGCACGGTAGAAGGGAGCAGACTGAACTGGGGTTGCAGGAGGTGGGGGGCTGACTCCTGGGCTGAGCGGTATGTGGAAGACTGGACAGGCAAAGTGGAGCCCAGGGCAGGGGCAGACAGATGATTGAAGGCCAGGGCAGTGGGAAGCACGGTCTGGCTTGTTTTGAGATGAAGGAGGGGGTCTGGGTGAGAAAACAGGCCATTGGTGGAAGTGCTGAAGGCTGGATCCTGGAGAGCCAGGGAAGGGTTGGTCGCATAACTCCTGGGAGGGTAGGCACCAGTATGCTGATAGGATGACAGAGCAGCGGGAGAGGGGAAGGTGGCAGTGGAAGGCAGGGCACCAGTCAAGTACAGCTCTGTGGTGGAGGAGTTTGTACCTGCGTAGCACAGAATAGGCAAAAGGGGAAGGGCAGACAAATTAAAAACCTATATACACAAAAGAAGCATCTTGTGAAAGATCAACAACAGTTTTCATATATGCACTTATACTTATTTCAAATTAACTTTTCATCAAAATACTTAATCAAATACTGGGTGAGTGGATGTGCTCTCACCTGCAGGCCATGATGGGGGTCTAAAAGGAGTAAGCAGCGAGGCACTAACAGGACCAGCCTGAAGGCTTCTCGACTCCATGGCTGTCAGAAAGCTCATGATTGAGGTCTCGGGATTATTACTGTTTGAGTCAAGTGTTCCTGAAAACCAAGAAGGAGGATCACTGAAAGAGACTGAACATAGATCCCATGTCCCAAGTAAATAAAATCAACATCTTAAAATATAGTTCACCTTAAATGCAAGCAAAACATTTTTTTCTTATCTCTAGTGAAATTTACTTAAACTTAAACTAACAAATTAAACCAAATGGTCTGTGCAAGATATTTGCCACTGAGATATCTGCACCCCTACAAATGGAGAATTCATGTTTACAGTGGGTCTCAACAATATAAAAAATCCTATTGGAATATTAGAATATATATCAATTATGGGGAGATGTAATTTAAGTGGGAATAAAAATCATATGTCACCTCAATAGTTCATTTACAATAGTAGGTTATGACACATTTTGTCTATTACACAAATTGTCTGAATTGAACATTGAACTTGGACATTAGGACATTTAAATAATATTTAATTAATTTAATTTTAAGAATCACATTGGTAAAAGATGTCCAAGATCTGTTCTCAAGTAATATGAACATGAAAGACACATTATGGTTCATTTGAATTTACCACCTTGCTGAGTGGTGGCACCAGCCACAGCATATAAAACCAAAAATATCTGCAAGACCACCACTACCAGGAAGTTGATGTTGAAACTAACGCTTTTCGAGCTTCCACAACTCACCTGCTGCAGCAGGAAGCTGTGACGTAGTGTAGGTGGGAAGCTGGTGGGTGGAAGTGTAGCTTTGCCGCTGGAGGAGCTCTGCATCAAGGTGTGTTGCACCATAACTGGGACTGCATGAACACACAAACACATACATGTGAGCTCTCATTCTCACAAGCAGCAGAGCACTCAGTGAAATATGAACAAGTAAATCATGTCTCATGGCACGGAGCAAACTCTGTTCGTCCAGCCGAGTCTTGGCTACTGTCTACTGAGTAACAGCCGTAGGAGGCCCACAAAATATTTGCATAAACACAATGATAGTTCTATGATTAATGTTTGAGGTGATACGATAGTTTGTCTAAGCCAATTAGGGTGAAAAGTAAAAAGCAAGAAATAATTGTATGTCTATTATCAGACAACTTCTTAAAATTGATGGGAAACAGGATTTAAACCATGGGTAATCAGATCCAGCCAATCTGATCTGAACTGTTTTAGCTGCAAGGTAAACATCTAAGGACAGAGAACACAGCTGAAGAGGAGTCTTCGGTCTCTACTTCTGGTCCCTCCAACACAAATGCACAAATCACCTTTTATATGAAACTTTTCTCTGCTAACTAACTATTAAGTTGTGAAAATTAACACATCATGTAACAACAAACCCCAATTTGTGCAGTGGGGGTCCAAAGTTTGAGACCACCTTCCTGGACAGGGGTCAGAAGGTGGAAGTGAAGTATCCCAGATGACAATTGACAGCATGTGACTATTAATTTCACTTTCCATAGCGTAATCAATTAACGTTTTAGATTCACCAATAGCTGAAATTATAGCAAATGCTTGTGTCAGAGCATCAGTGACGACTTATTCTACACAACCTACCACGAGTGTAATCATCACAGTCTGCTCGTAGTGATATCAAGTTGTTTTAATAGTTTTTTTGTCATGCCACAAGTCACCGAGTGATCATTTCTGTATTCTTGTAACTATTTCACCTCCTCTGACTTTCTCCTTTGTGCTCTTTTTTAATGGTAAAATAACTTATAAGATTGTGTGTTGCACAGGTTCGGAAGGAGGCCAGTTGTCATAAACTACAAAAAATATGGAGAAACAGCTTTCTGTAATAATGCGAGCTGGAATGATATCCCACCACATGTTAGAAACGCCCTCTGTCAACATTTTTAAAAGAAACTGATCAAATCTTGTTTTATAGTTATGCTTTTAATTTTTTCACCAATTTATATTAATAATAAGTCATCTTAATATTGCTTCAACTGTTGGATCAACATTTTGTTGTTTTAACCTCTTTTATAGTGTAAATATGTTCGGTTGCTAATCTGCTGTTCTATTTTATGTAAAAAAGGGGGTTCTCAAAGTGTGTTCGGGAAACCCCCCAAGGGTCCTTGAGGGGTTGAAGGGAGTCATTTCTTTTCACTATATTTTCCATCCATATCTCACACACTGGCAGATGAATTTCACACACTTCCTGTAATAAAACATTGAAGAACAAGAATGTAATGAACTGTGGGTCTGTGGTCTAGCTTGTGTCTGTTAAGGGGTCATGGACGTGCATTAGTTTGAGTATCACTGATGTAATTGGAATCGCTGGGATATCAATGTTTACTTATTTTTATGTTTTGCATCTTAACTCTAGTTTCATTTTGCATCTCTCTTGTTTTTACCTGTTTAACTTGTTCTATGTTTCGGGTTGCTGCCTGTATTAGATGCCTGATTTTTTTCTCAATGCAACATTTCACGGTAAAAAATAAAGGTTAAATAAAAACAATATAAATAAAGTAAAGCACCTTAAGCTGAGTTTTATTATTATTATTAATGTTCCCATTATTATTATAGTGCTACGTCTGAATGCTACATGCTGACTGCTTGTGGACACTATTACTTTACTACAATTGAGACATTTAACTTTACATTTCTGTAACGTATGGAGGAACAGAACAGTGATTGCTGTAGTTGGAGATCTGCTACTTTGGCAGGTTTAGCAGCTGAATTCACTGTTTTTGTTAGATATTGGAAATAAAGTGAGCAGTGGTTAACTTACTCTAACTAAACCAATAACTGTGTCACAGACACACAGAGACTGGGACACGTCGCCTGAGCAACACCAGTAGCTGTGCACCACTAATGTGAAGAGCCATGACTGACATGATTAGCACTGGGGGCTAGTTACCTCTCTTGTTTGGGCTTTAGCGGGCACCTGTGGTGAAGAAAACGGGCCGATGCGATGCTAGTTCGAGCCCCATGTGTCAGAAACTTGTTCCAGAAATAAAACAACACCGGTCTGTAGTTTTACTAACTCTGCCCGGGGGCTACGCTGAGGAGGCGGTGTGCTAGCGAAAACTAGCAAGGTGGGCGACAGTGACGGCGGCTAAGAAAACACTGACAACTCAGCGGCTCCGTAACTCCACTCGAATTCACTCAAATTTCTCCGCAGACAACAACACGGAGCCCCGCACTTTTTCTTCCTAGGCCCCCTCATCCCCGAGCTTTCCTTTGGGGAGATGCCCACCTCCCTCCCGCTTTATCTCCCCTTACCTCGGCTTGATGTTAGCTGCGCTGCGGTCATAGGCCCAAGAAGCTACGGTCTGTGCTGGTGGAGCCAGCGCGTCCGCGAAGCTGGAGGTCGGGTAGTTCCTGTCCATCATCCGGTGAAGGAGTCACTTCCCCGACGGAGCTTCGTGGAGCAGCGAACACGCATCGTAGCGGCGGCGGCAGCCCGCGTCCGACACCGCCGAGCGACCGGTCAGTGCAGTCCGGCCGGAGCCTCCGTGAGGGCTGCGGGATGTTCGACTATAAAAAAGCCCTCTTCCTCCTCTGAGCTCGTTAGTTTGAGTTCGCCTCCCGTCCCGTGGAGCCGTGGAAGCCCTGCATGGCTTCACGCACCCATGTCAGTAGGTTTCCCAGGATGCACCGCACATTTGGCTGCAAGTTTTCTACTTTTCCTTCCACCTCAAAGTTGGTGCGACTCCACCTGCATGTTTCTCCTGATGTTTCCTAATGTTTCCCCTGATGTTTCCCCTGATGTTTCTCCTGATGTTTCCCCTGATGTTTCCTCTGATGTTTCCTGAGGTTTCCCCTGATGTTTCCTGAGACACCAACACTCCTGAGGTGTCAGTGAACCTCAGCACTGTTTGTATACATGTCTTTAATAAAGTGCTGCATTGATAACAATAGAGCCAGGATTGAAAGTGGTCTTAGCATTGTACTGTTATTAATGTTATTCTGTATATAGGATTTTACTCTGTATATTTCGTATAGCTTAGTTTTTATATTTTGACGTTATATATACTGTGACACCTTGCTGCCGTAACACAGAAATCCCCCACTTATGGATCAATAAAGTCCATCCATCTAGTCTTGTGCATATTCTTATTTAGCTCCTGGTGGGCAGTAAAACAATAACTATCAAAACATAATTATCATTAATAGCAATACTTTTTCTTTAATCAGTTTTTTTTTATCTTGATACCATTTTTAGTCATATCACCAATCCCACTCCTGATGAATTACAGTAATAAATTAATTTAAAAAATCAATTACTATCGATATTCAAGAGTTCAAACAGTATCCAATATCTCAATATGGTGTTTGAAATCTTATTATGGCCAGCCTGGAGCCTTTGATGTGTTTATTTCATTAAAGAAGATGCCAAAAGAAATGTTGTGTCATCTTAACATCACACTGGTTCTGTCCTTGTCAGACATTTCTGAAGTTCATACATTTTGACTGTAAAAATAACATTTATTAATATTATTTATGAATGATTTATTTCAACCCATTTCAAAATAGAATAATCTCACGTGAAGCTCTTTTTAACAACCTCAAACATTTTACATACAGATGTGTTCAAATCCGATATTAAAACCTCTGAGTCAATGTCCACACAGAAGAAAAGTGACATAAGAAGGTTGCTTTGGTGTAAACTCATAACACTTCAGAAATGGTTTTTACCTCAGTATCCCAGTTTGCACGTCTTTTACATTTGAAGAATAAAATGTGTTTTATCTGATGTGGATGAGAAAATCCTAAAAATGTCAAAATTAGTAAAGAGCCACATGAACAGCTCTCATCAGTTTACACACACATTGACTGACTTACATGAAGTTGTCAGATGAGACAAAAAACATCTGTAAAAGATTTTACATTTCCAGTAGTTGTGGTTCAGATCAGTGTGAACCACTGAGGCCTCAGTAAAGCCTCATGTCATAATGAGACTTTAGTGAAGGCAAGCCTGATTTACAGAGACACAACTAGGGATGCACCGATCCACATTTTTTCACTTCCGATCCGATCCCGATACCTGAATTTGGATATCTGCCGATACCGATACTATTCCGATACCAGAGCTCTGCTCTTTAATGTGGTGTTTTTTCAAATGTTTGATTTGGTTGGTGGTGTTGTACGTCGCGACGGATGGCTTTACACACATTGCACGTTGTTGTCTTGCTTTGTGGCGTTTCGACAGTGAAATATTTCCAGCTAGAGCAACCGGCAGGAATCACTTGTGGAGTAATTTCAGCAGACAACGTTAAAGCACGGACATAATTCACGCATCGGAAATTTCCGCAGCTTGGATCGGAAATTTCCGATACGTGAATTACGATGGTATCGGAACCCGATACCGATACTGGATCGGATCGGCCCCATCCCTAGACACAACCTTGTATTTCTGCATAATGTCATGAAAATGAGACTCATTCAAACTAGAGCTAAATGAGTGGCTTTGGTACACACGTTGAACTGCTGTTCAATAAGTGTTACAATCATAGTCATCACAGCAATAATGGTACTGTAAAAATTATCCTGAGTAAATGTAATGTTATGTAAAACCATCTCTGAGGAGTTCATAATACATTTAATAAAGCCAACCAAAACACAGATCATGTAATAAAAAACTTCACATAGTAGAGCATTCTCATAATTATATAAATTTCAGACACAATTTAACTTTATAAAGCCACAAAAATTTAAAAAAGAGTAAATGATGTTGATACACAGCTGAATTATTAATGTATAACCAGTGCATCAAAAACACTTATTTTTCACTCATGGCAAAATGAGCCATCACACCATGTTTTAATTTTCCTTCAGAAAGAGACAGGGGATCGTATGACAACACACCAGCCTCTCTCAGTGATTACCATTAATACTAATGAAGCATAACCCTCATCTTTCACTCAGCATCATGTATCAAAAACAACCTTTAAGAGAAAAAGTATTCCCTCAATTTAAAACACTCATGTCCAACACTGAACCGATTCTTCATTTTCATTTCAAAAAAAGCAGCAAACTGAGTAAAATGTATTGTAATTCTCATTTGGGTAGAGGTTGTGTGACTGAACGCACAGCTGAGGAAATAGTAGAGGCTACCACAAAACTATGTATGTCAAATAGAGAGAACATTACACTGCAAGGAAAAGATGCACAAACAAAGCAGAGAGGAGTGAATGATGTGGGAGTAGAAAAACACAGGTTAATCAGGGCAATAAACAAACGGTATAAGGCACTATTTAAAATCTTGTGATGATTAAAAAATTTATGTAATAACAGGCGGAGCACTTTGTGAATGATAGTTGTATTGTATTGCTTCTGATTCCTGAAGGTACTACCGCCGAATGCTTCCAGGCTGTGACCTAAAACCAGAAACAAAGAAAGATGTTATGAAAAATAAGCGTAATTTCCTTTCAGTAACTGCAGTGTGGATTGTGTATGCATGTATGTGTGGGTAGGCGTGGGGGTGTGTGTTAATGTTTGTGTGTACAAGAGAAACCTGAAAAGTGAGTTATAACATACGCTAGAAGTATTCAGACACTGTTTCTCAACAGTTTCAAAGCTCAGTTTAAACCTGAGCAGGTTTAGGTCTATATAAAAAAAATCTATGTGAAGCCGTTTTCAGACATGACCTCCACGTAAAATCTGGGGAATTGGCTACTGACTCTACCCCGGTCTGTCTTTCACACATGCAGGGGATTCCCTGCTGTGTTCACGCATCGACTTCCCCTGGATATCTACAGACATCGTACTCGGAGGCCAGGCAGATAAAGTCAGCAGAAACTATGGAGCATCTCACTCGAACATTTGTGTTCCTGACATGCACTTCCTCCAGAAAAAATACGGAGGAACTGGAGTGCAGTGCATGTCTGAAAGCAGCTTGAGTGATATAGACCTTTAAACCAGCAGTTGTCAGACAGTTCGTGTTCACATGTTTTGGGGGCATAGCATTGACGAGAGGGATGATGGGAGGGGGTGGGATGTACGGGCATCTTATCAGGATTACTAACCCTAGCTTTAATGATCCATGTCTGCTTATGTCTATTAAGAAAAAAAAACAAAAACTCTCAATTGAATTTCAATTAATTAGTTTTCCCTTAAATCCACAAACTTTTAACCATGGGACTCTTGTGTAGAATCAGAGTAGAAGGAATGTCTGCACACCAATTAAAGCTCCCACAAACCTTTAAATGAGCTCCTAGATACCATTATATAAATCATTAAACACATTGCATTAAAAGGCCTTTATTCAGGGGTCTGTGCCACCTGGGAGGTCATTTATAATGTAGTGGGAGCTTCAGCGGGTGTATGGACATTTCGTTGATCCTGTCCAGCACCTAGTCCTCATTAATTTGGATGTGTGTGCAAAATGTAAACACATATGCAAATACCCAGGGTATGGAGGAGGTGGGGCGTCGTGCTGTCCACTTTTTGCAATTGCCTGCTCGTAGGAAGGCAGTCCGGGGGGGTCTATTTCCTCCATAGGGGGTGGGGGCACAGGTTGCTGCACAGGGTTTAAGGACACCTCCTCTAGCCGCCGCATTATTAGAGAAGCGTTACTCCTCCTTGGCCGGACCCGTATGGAACTGTGAGAGAAGCATAGAAATAAATATCATGTCATACACCTGTGACCTACTTAATGTATTGAGGTTAAAGTGATAAGACAACTGTGGACAACAAAATGTTCCAACTGTGCCATGTGGTGTGAACCAGTAGCATGCTGTTAGAACAGGTGTGCAGCTAAAACATTTAATCAACAGAAACTTAATCAGCAAAAATGTGGATAATAGATTCACTCAATTTACAGGCAAAAGTACAGAACATTCACTTGTCTTAAATGAAAACTTTAGATTTCTTCAATTGTGATTTGTGACCTAAATATTGACCTCCTCTAAGGAGTTTGCATCAGCATTTGTTTGTTAGCGGGATAACCTAAAAACCACTTGACAGATTACCATGAAACTTGGTGGAAGTATGCAGTTTGAGTCATGAAAGAAGCCATGACATTTTGGTGCAGAACCGCCCCTGAGAACGGCTCAGGGGCGGATCCAGGATTTTTAAATTTTATTTTTACTTTCTTTGACAAAAAGAATATATGGCATTTTTCACACTTTATGTTAATATCTCAAGAAATAATGCAGAGATATTTATTTTAAAAAAGAATCCAACACCTGTAGGGTGATAATATCTATGAACAAGTAATAGTTGGTGCAGATCCAGGTAATGATCAGGATTTTGTGAATCAAAACATGTATTCTTATGGAGGGTGGTTTTTGCTCAGTTACTGTACAGTAGCAAATATTCCTTTTGAATACGTCAGGGAATGTTTGTTTTGCCTGCGTTTAATGTTTCACAGAACATTTCTGAGTATGTGGTTTATGTATCTAATGCAATACATGCATATGCAATATAAAAGGCTGAAGTGGAGCCTGGAGTTATATGCTCTCTGAGTGCCCTTCTAGTTTTCTAATATTGTTGTCAGGAAAAGCTGACTTGGGAAAAACTCAACTTTAATTTAAAGACACAATGATTTATTGAGAAATAATCTGTAGATGAATCGAAGTCATTCCCAAACCTTAATAGGTCATAACTGCCGATTAGTGACAGAGGAGTATCCAATCATACTGTAGAAACTGAGTTGCAGTTGTCAGCATATGAAAATATCCTCTTGAATAATGTGTTTTATTATACAGTACATAATACAAAAATGTTTAGGTTGTTGGTATATTTCAATACTGGGGTTTTTAGATACAATAGAGTTGCACTAGTATCTACAGACTTGAAAATACTGCCGCTAAAAGAACGGTTGTATGTCTTACTGGTAATAAAGACCCATCCACTCACCTTGACTGGCTGAAATTAGCTTTACATTTGCCTTGACAGAAATACCAAAGCAGGAGGCCAATGATGACAATGGACACTCCAGCAACAATCAGTCCCACCAGGAGAGACGTCACATCTACCCGTGTGGGGCGCTTGTCCTTATCTGTGGAACATCACCAACCAAAGAGAGGAACAGGACAGTGCGGAGATTGTCTGATAATGTCAGTGATTTATACTACATGTAATAAACGTAACCATCTGAGCAATGTGCTAGATTAATTATTTACAGCAATAGCTCTATGCTGTCTCAGTAGTCAAAACAAAACAACACACAATTTGACCCATAGTTTTAATCTGAGCGACGGCTTGAGTAGTAGACCAAGCATTTTTGTTCCCAAAGCTACGGTGCACTGCTGAATAAGTGGTGAAACAGGTTTGGGAAAGCACCAAAGTTGTACTTGCAAAAGCAAGAAACAAGTGTTCCTAAAGCAAGCATCCACTACTCCCTCTCATAATGTTTGATGATGATGATGATGAATTTAAGAATTAATCGTGGTATTACTTTCTGTGTGTCTTTCCTACCTGATATGTACTTCTTCCAAAAAGCATCCTGCAAAACAGACCATCAGTATCAGTACGGACACCTCTGCTCTTTGAGCTCATTCATTGTCGTCAGTGTGTGCATCACTTAACTGTAGCCGGGATGTTTTCAAACACCTCCCTTGCCTCCTCGTAGTTGCACACTTCTTCATTACACTCCCTCTCCAGGTTTCCAGGGACGAAGATCTCAAAGTCGAACCGGTTGAATAGCAGCTGGCGACCCAGGAACGAGTGTGCGTCCCCTTCATCTACAAACACTGGGAAAGACATTGTGGATGATTAGATTCGATCAGATAATACGTCTTTATTTATCCCTAATGGAGACTCATTTGCCACCAAATACAGACAACAAACACTTACCATGACATTGACAGTGCACATCCGAATAATGTAAAAACCCTTAAAAGCTATTTGAGACATTATGAACAGCTGACAGATGCCATGGATCCAGCCTACAACTAAAAATGTTCATTAGAATTCTGACCTCTGCAGGAATACAAGATCAGTAATAATATTAATAAGTATGGAACACTGCGGCATCACTGAATGAGTCTGTAAAAACACTGTGGGGGGGGGGTGTACTGATTATGAATGATATTAAAATATAAACATCATTCTCACCTTCTTGGTCCTGGTCATGAGTGGAGAGCAGCCTCCTCGTGCAGGCCAGATCCCCAAATGACAGCAGCTGGAGGAGCACGAGTGCGTGAAGTAACATGCTGGCGCGTGCACCTGTGCGCGGGCACGCGGTGCTGCATTCACCGACAGCCTCCTCCTGTATCGATGTGTTCCTCAGCCTTTGACCACACAGCTACACGTACACGTCTCTTCTACATGACCCATGGGAGGGACATCATGGAGGGAGCGCGGACAAAGCGAAAGCGGCGTAAGGAGGAGCGGCAGGTACGTGCCACGGCCTCGATCGGACGACTCACAAAACGTTCAGCGATATCCACGAAAACGAAAGTTGGACGCAGCAGTAAAGATGGAGATGATGGATGGAGTGGTCCTCGTCTCGCCACAACACCGCTCCGGTGCGTTAGAGAGGAAAAGGAGTAGGAGGACGGTCTTCTCTTACTTTTTCTGTTGTTGACTCCTGACAGATGTGGCCTCTCCGCCGCACTTCCTACACCACCTGCGCAGACTCGACCAATCGATCGCGTTTACCTGGATGACGTGAGAAAGGCTGCGTGAATGCAAGTGGACGCTAGGTGGCGGCTGGAACCTGGAAAGGGAAGTGCATGGCCACACGGGAGTGTTAAAGGGGATCGAACATGCATCAGCTGACCTGTGACTCAGAACACAGTTGCACTCCACCCTAACACCACATCATCTGCTGGCCTCAGCTCTGCATCACAGGTCACTCTAAGGCCATCGTTCACCCGAGCTCATTAGGTTTAAGTCATTTAAAGTGTGTAAGATTTAGGTGAAAGGGATCTATTGGCAGAAATTTAATGTATAATAATCCTCATGATGTTTTCACTAGTTTGTTTCATCTAAATTGTACAAATTGTAGTTTTCTTTACCCCAATAAAAAGCTTTTTATATTCAAAAACTTTATATTTACATGGAGGGGACCCTCTCTACGGAGGCCGCCATGTTTTTTACTTTAGTCCAGACTGGACAAACTAAACACCTTTTGAGTTTTTAACTGAAGGCTACCACAGGAGCAGATACCAAATGTCTAATATGTTTTTGTCACCAGATTTCCATTGGTTTATCTTTTTTCCTCTTTTACATTCATTATGAAGAAGGGCACGAGATAAATTGATGATGAAGCATATATACACTCACGCAGATGTATGCATATAGATGTTTACCATTTTAAGTTTACATGTGGAGAAAATCAAAATGATGAGGATATTCAATATGTATAGCCTATATTCATACAAGGGAATAAAATCTATATGTAAAGATAAATAGGGAACATTAATTTCCTCTAAAAGGACAAAACAGTCCTAATCTTTTCATTACATTTATTTATTCCAAACATGTTTATACAACAATATAAATACATGAGAAAACAAGGGGGAAAACATCGGCAGTCTTATCAAATCCCAGTTAAAAAAATTCAAATGAGGCAATGCAGGCTCAAAAAGGAGCAGGAAGAAGTTTACAAAAAACTGTTACTAGTCCTACCCCTCTCCTTCAACAAAAAGCTTTGTGGTTCATGTGAGAGCTCAACTATCTGCTACCAGGAAGTGTCCAAGACGCCCATCTCAGTCACATCCAACAAGAATCTCATACTGAGAGACAATCAGAATAAGTACATTAAATTAATCTTACCGTATGTACTTATTGTATGAACGTACTGCTGTAATGTGTATTTATAATAAACAATAAAATACTTAAACAATAACTTTTAAAAGGCTACTGGTTAAATGTTCAAAGATAATATATATTCTCTGTCATTGTTTGGTTGCTCTGACTAACTCTGATTTTGGTACATGCAATGAAGATCTTTTTTCCTCTGAAGACTCCACGAGTTTGATTTCTACCACAAGGACTGTTCTTTTAAAAGCAGTAAATCTAGTCTTGCAACATCTCTCAGTAGCCCGGGAGCTGGTGACTACACCACTGTGTACAGGCCTTGTATGGGAAAAGCTTGTGTGACAAGTAATTTTGACAGAGAAGACGTTGCATCTGTGTTTTTCCCGTGCAAAGAATGGTGACTGCAGCAATTTCACAGACATGACAAAACAGCAAAACATGCAGTTACACAAGTTGAAGATAACATTTCCCATTCTGCTCAGCAAACCACCGTCCACAGCAATGTTTATGTTTCACGCTCTGTGTAAATAGTCATATCTGTCTCTGAGCCTCTGGGCCTCTTGGTCAGTGTTTATGTAAAGCAGAGATAGGATGCAATTGAACATTATCTCACTGACTTCTGGATGGTGCTAATTGAAGGGCAGTGAGAGCCCCTCTCTTGTACTTGGCTACGTCTCTGGATACTGTCATGCTCTTGGATTTACCCAGAGGAATGTTGATATGAAGAAAAGGGAAGAAGTAAATGAGAACTTCCAGACTTTACCTATATGTGATGTCAGATGATACAATATACTGTAATATTCAAGCTCAGATGATTAATATGGCTTTGCTGCAGGGGAATGAGCTAACGCAGCAAGGTTTGTGCTCAGACACAGTGAATGTGACCAGTAGCAGGGGGAGTATTCAGATTCTTTACTTATGGTTCGCAAGTCCATCTTAAAACAACAGTCAAGTACTTGTATGAGCATTGAGATGATTTGTAGTTGCTGCTGGTTTTCCTCATGTCCACACTGTTACACATTAATAATGATAATAATACTTTTATTCCTGGAGCAACACAAAGTTTCAACAAAAAGTAGAAAGTGCTGCACAACTAAATGGCAAATGGTTAAGTAAATCCTCAAAATGTAGAAGTACATAAATAAAAATGTAAATAGTGATAATTATGGAGATAAAAGAACAATAATAACCTGGCAAATAAATAGTGTTATTTTTCTTTTTATTTAAGTCAATGCCTTTATTGTCATTGTGCAGTGCACACTGAAATGAAATGTCCCTGTGGTACAAAGAGTAACATAACTCTGAGACCAGCAGGCACATTACAGTCTAATAAATACATGTAAAAACAAAAAATAGAATGGGGCATTAAAGCAGATGAGTATATGTACTCAGTTATAGTGCAAAGTTAGGATATTGTTGCACATGGTCAAGTTTTCTAACCAAGTGCAGTAGTAATAATGGTAATTTACTGAAAAGACTGTTACTTTTGGAAATTCCCATTTGATCTGCTAAACTCAGACATTAGCGTGGAATATAATTTTGCACTTTCCGAATCTTGTCAACTGTGTCACTTAATCCCTTAATGTCCTGAATGAACAGGAGTGATAACACACAGCTTTAATGTGCATACTAGCACCTGACTGTCGTTTAAAGACAGGCTTTAAAACTCCAAACCTATCCTCTTAATACAAGTATCAGTATCTAGAGTGGCATACATGTTTTATTCTACTACTAGTAAAACCTTTGTTTAGGTGCCACTGATAACATCATGAAAAACACTTTGGAACTTCACCTCATTTGTTTTTCATGGCTAAACAATGCAGAAAAACCTTTACCTATCTATGATAAGAAGGGGTCATGGTGTTTGTGAGATACACCATCCTCCAGCATTAACATCTGGTACATCTCGACAAAACAGTTACTCAAAGCCAGTGAAACAAATTAGAGACAAGAGGAGAGAGCACTCACTGTGCAGCATGAGAGAATTAACTGAGAAGTGAAGAAAAGGGAGCATGTGCGTAGAGATGGAAACTGAGATATAAAGCTTTGCAAACAGTGTGTTAAGCCTCGGCCACATTATTTTTTTATCTGCTCCATACTCCACATTGTCACCGGGCCACCCGTGCCGTGGTGAGGTTACGCTCCTGAGAATGTGTTGTGTGATTTACACCCACTGATAAGGGCTGGAGATGTTGCTCCCCGTGGACAACTGGACAGAAGTGAGCGGTGAGCCTCAGCAGACCTCCGGTACGATAGGAAAGAAAACAAACGTACACCTCCACTGATGATTTAATCTGGTATTTCAGCAGCAAGGTTCAAATAATAAGAAATGACCTGGTGCAGAAAATTCAGAGTGGCATAACACTTAAAAATCAAAAAACAAGTTGAACCGGTGCTTCATTAGTGTCAAAAAGTGGGCGTACTGTGGGGGGGGGGATTCAAAGAGTGCAATCTCAGTAGTCTGCACTTTATCAGTTTGTGCTGATTTCATCACCGCCCCCAGAGGGAGAGAACTCCAATAGACCCCTTTTTACACCTAATGCCTGGGCCATATATCACAAGAGTTCACATCCTCGTGTTCTGGACCGCTGCCTGAGAGCAGATTAGTGCAGGAATAAACTTTACATCAATAGACAATGTCCCTGTTTTTCCACTTTTTTCTGACACGTCGAGAGCAGGTGAGTCATGCTGACTACAGCTGAGAAGTATCCATAACCCTGTGGACAGTTTGAAACTTTGTTAGTAGCAGTGAATCAGCCTACACCACAAGCTTTGTGTTGATGCTACAGTGATACAGCTGACCTCAAGCAGACAGGGTCATCAGAAGTTCACATTGCTATTGTCACTCCTCATGTGTTCCCAGACAAGTGACCCTCCGGCTGCAGGCCATTTCTCACAGCTCATCTAATACCGGCACGCTGTCCTTTAACTGAAAGCAGATGTGGAGAGCTGCTCGAAAACAAGCCCCCATTAAAATCAGTGGCATCATGAAAATATGACATGTTAAATAGCTGTCCGAAAAGACTGATTATGCAGTATCTGTATTTTCCATTAATGGGACAGAAAATCTTTTGGCTTTGCCTTCTTGCAATTATTCATCAAACTCAGCGCTGCGTGCTGTATTAATTCAACATGGGAAAAAAAAACTCAATCACAGGTGATCTCCACTGTTCTTTTATTGAATCAATATAAAAACTGATAATTTCAGTCCGGGAATCTGGGAGGTGGGAAAGAAGAGAGGGTCAGGCAGTCTAGACAGCTGGGTTAAGGTGGAATTAAGCAGAGGGTGACAGGGCCTGCAGACTGGTCTTGACGGCTGCTAGGTTTGCCTTCCAGGAGGTGAGGCTGTCGGACAGCTGCTGCCACTGCTGCTTGCCAAAGGTGCGATGTGTGCTGTGGCTAATGGGAGTGGAGACAGAAAAGGAAGAATGTTAAAATGGATACAAATAAATGCGGACCAAGGTTATGTCCCGCAGCCTCAGAGAAATAAAACAGCAATGGTAATTGTGGAAAAAGATATGATGAATGTATTCTGTATGATATCACAGCCATTTGGAGGCAGAATCACATCACATGAAGAACAGTGGAATGTTTCCTTGTAAAATAGTTTTCCTACTTTCAATACAGAAGCAACTACTTTCTACAGACCATTACAAAATAAAATCATAGTATCTTTGACCATGACCACATACTAATTAACTGGTAAATTCTTGCAGCCAAGTATCTTCCCTTCCCAATCCAGCTAAAAGCTCTATATAAAATGAAAAAGATAAAGTAGAAGATTTTCTCACTTATATGAAAAAGTCTCTTAAAGTAAACTCGATGTTGTTTTAACATAACCACAACTGTATTTCTCTTAGATGAGAAGCATGTGCAACTTTCACTTTAAAAATAACAGTGAGATGCCAACCAGAGTTACAAAAACAAAAAATGGATCACTCAAAAGTGCTTCAAAATAATATAAATATGCTGCCTTATAAGAACAAATGTGTTTATGATAACGATGCTTAGCACTATATTCTATTAGAGCCTGACTGATTCAGATTTCTGGAGGCTGGTG